GTCGCGCTTCCTTCCTTTGCGGGGCAGGACAGACGCCCGCTGGGCCCTTGCGATCCATGGCGTTGCTTTAGGGTGCTGTTTGCGCACGTCTTGTTCTTTTTTTCCCAGAAAGAATTTAAGGCAGCTCTACTACTTTTTGATTAATAGTTTGTACAAAAGGCCGTGTGGGTGTGATGAAGAAGATAACTAACTGCATGTAACCCGCGCAACAATAACGTGCGAGAAGAAATTGTGACGGGCACTGCAATTTGAAAAGGAATGATGCTTTAAAAGTCTTTTAAATTACAGTATTAGGCTAGAAGCCGGGCGGGGTGGCGAGCACCTATAATCTCAGTACTCAGGAGGCTGCAGGATTGCTGCGAGTTTGAGGCCAGCCCGGACCTTGCAATGAGACCCTGTCTCAGAACACAGAAAACTCCCATAATGTTAGGACATAGACTAAGATCAAGATATAATTTAAAAAAAAAAAGAAAGAAAAGAAAAGAAAAGAAAAGAAAAACATCACACCGAGTTGACTAGTTGATACTCTCAGTGAAGAAATATACAGCCAATAAAACAGTTTAAATCCTTTTTTTTTTTTAGGTACCAGGAATCAAACTCGGGACGTTGCACTTGCCAGGCAGGCGCTTGTGCCGCTGAGCTAAATCCCCAGCCCTAAATCCTTTTCTGTGTCAGATATACCTGCCATAGGAGATATACCTGTCCATGAAAAATGATCAGGACATAGTTTTAAGAAAATAAGATACAAGTCAGTATATATTATGAACTTAGAGATACAGATCTAGTTGGAGATACACAATTTTAGCAGTGATGAACTATAATGGAGTCGTTCGTTTTCTCTCATTTTTTATCATCCTTAGTATACTTTTCTCAAAATTTTTTTCCCGATATGTCTATTATAATCAGAAATTTAGAAAAAAACAAACAAAGGGTAAAACCATTAGAAGAAGGAGCTAATCTATTTTCGCAACCAGGGAAACCTCTTCACTGAGAATTGTCTTGAAGGAATTGGGATTGCGTTAGAGGCAGTTGGAGAAACCAGAGAAGACAGCTGGAAAATTTGAGGTTTGTGAGAAACTACAATTGTCTCTTGAAAGTAAAGTGTGTGAGTGAAAGGCGTCGAGGGCCAGGGAGTAGCAAGGGCTGAGACAAGACCTTTTAGGCCATAACGTGTGGCCTAAAAGCCACACCCACCTGCTGAGGTAGACTTTATCCTGAGGACAGTGGAAATTGTTGAAGGAGGAATGTGGTCAGGCTTAAACTGGAAAGAAACAACACTTGGCAGTTGTGTAGAAAGTAGGGAGGGGCCAGGCAAGTCTGGGATTCAAGATATTAAATGAAGATTGCTGAAATAAAGTGTCAGGGTAAAAATCTGTTCCCTCTCTTGTTCACTGCCAGTATGATGCCTGTTAGGTGCTAAGTAAATTACTTAAGTAAATGAAATGTTTCCCCCCATTCCTTTAGAATCTCAAATGCCCGAATTCAAGTTAGGAAAGGAATTGGTAGCATTGTTTATTAATATAAACTCAAGTGAAGTTCTTTTTTCTAAAAGTGGAGGAGGTCAGAGGGAGGTTAGGGTTGTCACTGAGAGCAAGTATTAAAAATCTGAGTCTCGGTTTTATAATAATATATATGCTTATCCATGTATCACAGTTTATATAATTTTTAAATTATGTCTCATTTACCTACCTAGAGTCATAAAGGAGATAATATCTGAATTGAGTCTTTCAAAGCAGACCAGATAGTGTTGGTGAAAGATGGAATAACATGAGCAAAATCATAGAAGTCTGAGCCTTTTTACAAAAAGAACCCTAGAATGAATGTGGCTTAATCTCTGCGTAGACTATTAAACAGAACTAATGAAGAGCTCAAGAGAAAATTGTGCAGACCACAAGACAAAACGAGATCAGGATGATCATTATATTTAAAGGATGGATATTTGACTTCACCTATGATAAAATACACCATTTTCATCAATTGGATTAGCAGAGATAAAAACATTTGATTGACATGTGGGTGCAGTGTGGGGAAACCAGGCACTAGACTCTCTTATTACCCACAGGATTGTACATTCCAAAAAGTAAATTGGCTCAGTATCTATTTGTGACCATTACTGATTTACAGATGTGCATGCACTTGCGTAATTCGTGGGATGTTACCTATAGGTACTCTTAAACACAGAGGAAATCACCTAATTCAGTCGCATGGTTTTGATAATGGCCATAAAAGAGAAATAACTTAAATGCTTATTAATCAAGGACTGTTTAAATAAATTATGGTGTAACTAACTACAGAGCCAGCCAGAAAATATATATACACATGTGAACAGTTTGCTGTATTAATAAGTGTCTGGAAATGAATGGCTGGCACTTTGAGTACCTCAAAGTAATTGAGTACCTTTGAGTAATTGTAGAGGCCAACTATAACTTGTGTGTTAATTTCATGTCTCAATAAATTTAGTATTAAAATGTTTACCCAAGTTTTTATTTTCCTGATGTTTACATTTTTTGGCAGACTATATAATGAATTGCTGTGTATCCCTTAAATTAAAAAACCACCCCTTTTCATCCAGGGCATTGATCATTTTCTGTTTTTTCTGTTTTTCATTTTATTGTTCTTTTTATATTTTTGTTTTTTGAGACAGGGTCTTGCTATGCAGTTAAGGCTGGCCTTGAGCTAACTTTGTAGCCCAGGCTGGTCTCGAACTCACATCGACCCTCCTGCCTCAGCCTCCCAAGTGGTGGGATTACAGGCGTGCACCACCATGCCCAGCTTTATTGTTCATTATACATTACATATGTAGTATATGTTTTATAAGTAAGGGTACTTCTCAAGTTGTGTATGCCATTAGATAGCTGATCTAGACTGCTTGTAAAGAAGGTATGTCATCCCTCTTTGGTATGGTGGTTTCCCTCCCCCTCCCACTCCAGTTCTCCTATCCTCCTTTTCTTTCTTATTCATACTATTTGTCTTCACTTAAGCTGTGGTGTGTAGTGTTTACATTAATTGCAGTTACAAGGTTCCTGTATAGAGCACATCTTTTTTTTTTTTTATTTTAAAGAGTAAAAGAAGGATAACATAATAATAGGGGGGGCTTACCAAATTACAGACAAAGTGGTAGGAAATTATCAATGGTTATTGTTTTACATATTGTTATCTACAAGATAGTTTCTCAGGAAAACAAATAGACAAATAATAGTGAGTTACAGACAAAAGAGGTAGGAGATTATCAATAGTTGTTGTACTATACTTAGGTATCTTCAAAGTGCCTTCTAAAGAATATAAATAGAACTATACATGAGTGACCTACTGAATAATCATTCAATAACTCTCAATGGTTGTTGTAGGAAACACATAATAATAAACATGGATCCATTTATGAAATAGGATAGGAACAATACAAACATTACAGAGTTATGGATAGATTAGTAGGAAAATATCAATGACTGCTGTAATACATGGTGGTATCTTCAAAGGGGTTTCTCAGGAAGACAGAGATACACAAGACGGATCTAACAAGTAGTTACAGCCTAAGGGTTGTCAAAAATCAAGTGAGCCACTTGGGGCGAAAGCCATTTTTTGTAGCGTTTTCTCTCCAGCCTCCCATTGCACTGGGACCCCACAACCAGTTAGTGTCCTCTCCCCAACTGTCAGCACAGGCAGAAGGAATCCTGCTGCAGACTTCTCCCGAGCTCCACCACAGCCTGTACTGTCAGGGGAAGAATGGCTTCCAGGGAGTCTCTGCAGGTATTGTGCAAGGCCCTCCTGGTTTACAGCTTCCGAGCGGCTCTCGTGACCCCAGTCCACAGGACCTCTGACTCCGTGGGCTTAGTCTGCATTCTCATGTTCTCTGAGTCCTTGTTCAGCAGCTGCTCCTCCGCTGGCTCTGGACCTTTCTGGTTCTCAATGGCAGGAGCAAGAGTGGCCCGTTGTATGGCATGTATTCCCAGGGGTTGTTCAAAGTTTGAAAGATTCACCCACGTCCGTGGGTGGGCATCTGCAGTTGGTGCATGGTGGGCCAATTGTGTCACTGTTTTTCTGTGTCATGATAGATCTCAATTGAGCGGTGGCGGCCGGCCTAAGGGCCGGCGTGCAACAGCGCTTGGTACCGCATGGCTCCCCATGCTCTGGGGACCCTCCCTCTGGGGGCCTACGAGGCAGGAAGCTAGCCAGTCGGAAGACTGGTGCTCCCTGCCCGTGGCTCCCTGTGCTCCAGAAGCCCTCCTTCTGGGGGCCTATGAGGCAGGGAGTGAGCCGCCGGTCTAAAGACCGGCGCTCCCTGCCTGTGGCAGAGCACATCTTTATTCCTCTCATTTTCCCTTCCCTTCCTCCTCATCCCTCACCCATGTCCCCTGGGACCTTTTCCCTTTGTGGTAAAGGTCTAACTTTATTTGAAACTGTTGAATTGCTTTCCAGAATGGCTTTACCATTTTATATTCCTACCAGCAATGTATAATTTCAATATTTTTAGCTTTGTTGGTGGTTGTTTTTTGTTAGTATGTTTTTGTTCTTGCAGTGCTGGAGATTGAACCGAGAGCCTTGTGAATACTATGCAGGTGCTCTACCACTGAGCTACATCCCAGCCCTAATTTTAGTCATTTTGATAAGTATATAGTAGTATCTCAATGTAACTTTCACTCGTGTTACCCTAATTACTATTTATGTTGAATATCTTTTACATATGTGTTTGTATCTTGGTGGCCTTTTCAATGAGGTGCCTGTGCTTTTTAATAACCATTTTATAACTTT